AGAAACCAGGAATCTTAAGTAGAACCGGAGGTCCATTTTTCCCTCTTAGGGTCTGATAGGTGATGGACACTACAGGATGACAGTGCAACAGCCGTCGTGGGGTGGGGAGCACACCTGCTATTACAGGGAAAACGACTGTTTTACGCAGAACGGATCGAACACTTGGATTTACCCCGTGTTAATGAAGGTCCCGTTAATGTCTGGAGCAGAATACTTGCGAGGGAGCGGCTTGGTGCAACCGGAGTGGGTCGTGGAGTTGCAGGTGACCGCTCCCAAAGTGTAAACCAAAGTACCTTTCCACGCAAGGTGCTTGTCTGAGTCAAAGGTTTCAAATGCTACTGCTTTCAGTATTGCTTAGTGCCCCTAACATGTCTGGTGTGCCTTATGCCTTACTTTTAGATGAAGATTTTATGAACTGTTTACAAGATGTCTTACAGCAGGACCAGGTATACTGTATGCAGTGGTCTTCTGCAGTACTTGGGTAAAATTCCATTTCCTTTTTAAAAGTACTCGTGTCTGTCACAACAAAACTTCTCATTGCGGTGGTCTCCTTTGGAAGAGTCAAACTCTGAACCCTTTGGAGTGAGATGGTGGAATGCTGCTTCGTTTTTCTCTCCCATTTAACCCTTTGTTCTGTACCGGATATGAACGTGCATGTTCAGGAAAATTATTGCACTAAATTTTTTTGTGTAGTTGTAGTTAAGTGCCAAAATCACGGCAACCTCGAGAGAAGGAATAGAATTCTACGCTACTTAGTACTGCAGTATGTCCTATGGGCTTTAAGAGTTTAGGAGTTTTGCAAATTAGTAACCTACTAAAAGGTAGCTGCATATTCGTAGAGCTTCCTTTGCGTTCCAGCGTGTTTTGTACTTCCAGAAAAGCTTTGCTACGTCCGAGTTGAGACATGGTTGACAGACCTGGGACTTTTTCCACGATAGCCGAATTTCCTCTTCAGGTCTGTCGGAGCATCCTTTTTATTGAATCACTGTGCAAGGTCACGTTTCTGTTCGCGTTTGCCGTTCGAGACAGAGCTCCGTACCCTCAGCCTCCGCGTCTTGGTTAACGGGACACTGTCAACTCTGTTTCCCTTCAATACTCTGAAGTGCCTAGCACGCTTTTGACGCTGTTTAACAAATACCTTCGTACCCGTTGCGTTCACGGTTTAGTTCTGGTGTAGCGCTGCACCAGCCAGCATGGCTGTTCTTTGGCTTGCTCCTTTG